TCCAAAAGTTTTATTTAAATAATAATAATAATAATAATAATTTCAACTACATAAAAATAGTATTTAAAAATTTGAAATTATATGGGATTATTAATAAATATTTAGTAATATTTCGTAAAATAAGAATAAAAGAAAAAAAAAGAAAAATACGTTTTAGGTAAGTATTTCATACCGGCAAGTTAATCTGTCAAGTGACCCGCAAAAAATATTTCTAAAATAGGCTTTAAAAAAAATCACGTATGTCAAATATTAAAATTCTTCTTCTGTAAGTTTGAGTTTAATTCAGAGTTGTTATTATTGGCATGACTCGTCGATCATGGCATACTTTAAAAATATTTTTTGTGGATCACTTTTTACTTATCCCGTACCGATATCGTACATTATAACATTCAATACCCACGGTATCGTTGAAGGGCGAAAAAGTTTGCCAAAAATGGCGCAAAAATCTGAGTATAGGGGCTGTTCTACACCTAATAAAGAAATGATATTCGCTTACAGAAAAATCAGGACTGCTTATTTTCAATAGGTAGGGCTAAAAGTTGAATTTCAGCCTGATGGCATAGAATTTCCGGTGAATTGAAACTTTGAGACTGCTTATTTTCGGTAATAGCAAGTACAAAACTTGAATTTTATTAAGAGTGTATAAATTTAGGAGATAATAATCGGGTTTCCATTAGACAATTCATTACAGAGAGACACAAGGCTTTTGTTCGATACATTTTTTATTCCTTGAGTACAAAAATACAAAAAATCCTTAAAACAATAGTTTGATTTCTTAAATTATTTATAATGAATTATTTATAATGAATTATTTATAATGAATTATTTATAATGAATTATTTATAATGAATTATTTATAATGAATTATTTATAATGAATTATTTATAATGAATTATTTATAATGAATTATTTATAATGAATTATTTATAATAAAGTGAGCGACTGGAAATAATTAAATGTGCAAGGACGAAAATTCTGCAACTGCTCTTCTCAATTTCTCACCGTAAGATGGAGCATCAATCGCATTGATCTTGTATCTATCCCAGTATTTTAAAGATTCATGGTGAACACTTTCACCAGCTTGTTCTGACCTGAGATATAAACCAGTGTTGGCATTCAGAAACTCTAGTGATCCTTTCAGATGAGTTAAGATGACGTGAAGTTTCAGGGTGATGGAAACCCCTGTACTTTCCACTGCTTTGTGCAAGTCTCCAACTAATTTCTCCATTACAAGGTCCTCTTTCCACGCGAAAACAGTTTTCAACCAACTTATCCATTATTTTGAAAGCCGCAATGAAGGGGAAAATCCGGAAATAACCACATTCCTGACATATTTCGGTATCGTTCAACCTCTCTGCCTCTTTCCGCAAGATCCTACAAGCATTTCCTTCGAAAACCTCCCCATGATAGCCTTTGGAAATAATGTTTAATTTTTTTGGCCAAAGAAGGGCCCTTTCTTTGCCTAAAATTGGTACCAAATCAGACCAAAACAAATGGTTTACAAACCCTTGTAGAAGGTGTAGCTCGGGAGGCGCACAAACTTTAAGTCGATTTTCTTTGTGATCACATTTTCTATTTAACGGGATCGACAAGATTAAAAATAAAAATCTATTTTCCCCTCGGAATGTCGCAGAATACTAATAACATCATTGCGCGCATTTTCTCGAGTATTTTACCAACAGGGAGAGGGGGAGATACGGTTAAAATCTGCAGTTTCGCGTGGTTTCTTGTGTTTACATTTGCGTATTCATTTGTGTGGACATGTGTGTGCAGGTTAATACGTGTGTGTTTACAGTTCCGCGCCTGTAACTGTATACACCCGTTCGTATACTAGTATGCATGTGGGACTCTCTCCATTTGAATTCAACGGTCATTCTACACCCTCAGGTTGAAATTCATTTTACAACCCTAAATATTGAAAATAAGCAGTCCAGATTTTTCTTTAAGCGAATATCGACTCTTTATTGCATGTAGAACAACCCCCTATACTCCATTGTTGCAGCCAAAAATGCATTAAAAAAATGCATTTTTTGAGATGGCTTTTGGAAGATTAAATAACTTTGTAAATAAGAGTCAGAACTGACCCAAATCAGGTTCCGGGGTTTTTCGAGGTCGCTAATCACGATTATGATGCTTAAATTGACCTACAGCCGACCTGGATGTCTACTATTTGATAGGAAAAGTGCTTTTTCTTAAACGGTAACAGATTGGTAAATTAGACAAAAGTTGCGTAGTTTTGTGCTTATTAAAATGCCGAGAAGACATTTTTGATATTGGAATACAAAATATGAAACATTAATTACAGTCAAAAAAACTAAATTGTGTGAAATTACAGGTAAATAAAACAACATAACCACAAAAATAATTTTTGCTTGTATACATATATAAAAATTTGCTAGTAGTCACCAACAACGACTGCTCCAACATGGAAACCTTGAGATTATCTAGCTCCTCAACAATGCCAATCTAATAAGAAGACAAAGGTCTATCCTCACTATAGGTCAAGCCACGATCAAATCACGGTACAGTCACGGTCCAATCAAAAATGATTTGTCATAATTTTAATGCTTATAAGTGGGATTTTTTTTAAACCGTTCACACATACCGGTCATAGAACAAGCAAGCCACTGTCAAGTCACGCGCCGATCATTTTCAACAATATTTGATCCAACCGTGACTGTGACCAACCAGCTAGACAAAACAGCTTTATTTCATCTGAAAACGACAAAATTTTAATCGAAATGATGCGTCAGCATGAGGAACTTTATGATTTTTCTAAAAATACTCAGGCGCCTATTTTAAATCAAGAATTTGAAAGGAAATTGGAGAAACACTAAGTTTAGGTCAGAAAAGTATTTTATTATCAACTTAAAAAACTCGTTTAGCCAGTTAATAGTGTGTAATACACAATTTTTATTTCCTAATGCACAATGTATAATTGCTAATACTAAATTCACAAAAGAAACGAGTGTTTATACAGCGCATGCTTTTTTTAATGCTTAAAATGTAGACACAACCTTACTTTTGGGTGTATTTATATGTTTTAACTATTTATTTACCGCAAAGGAATAATTTTTTAAATATTTTTTTATTGAAATTGTGCAGATTTGATTTGTAATTTACCTGCTTAATTTGTGAAAAGTTAAAAGTTCAACTTTGTGTATTGTGCATGATGTACGAAATTACGAATTAGACACCAACAGTTGTCTGAACAGCTGAATATAAAACTGAAGTAAATTAGGCATTAAGCACTAAGAGTTGTGCATTATACAATATTAACTGACTAAACAGCTTAATTCTTATAGTAACAGAACTATAGCTTAGATACGTATTCTATGTTGAAGTCTCATTTTGCTGTCCTGGTCTATTCCTTTATTTATGGCTTTATTTTGTAAAACATATAAACATTTGTCATTAATATATTTTGAAGGTAGTTACATTCTTGTTTACATATATTTTTTTTTATGTTAGTTTTGGATTTTTTTTATATTTCATATTGCTATGGAATAGAACCTGCTTCTGGATTAAAAAATCTCACAAATTTTTCTTGTACATTAAAAGCCTCTTGGTGAGCATTGCCACCTTGTTTTGGTAAGCCAGTTCATAAGTCTGCATGGTCGTCTTTTTCTTTTTTTTTTGAGACCTCTTGTAATGAATGAATAATATTATTATTTCGTAAGTAATTGTGTAAAATTCAAGTATTTTTTCTACTTTTGCGGGTTTACAATGTATTTTTCTAAAGTAAATTCGAAATATTTGCACTAAAATCCCAAAAGCATTCTCGGACACACGTCTGACGTGACAATGTCTATAATTGAATACTTGTTTTTCAGCATTGTTCAAAACTTGATTTTCTGGAAAAGGTCTAAGCAGATTTTGTTTTAGAGGAAATGCAGAATCTCCTAAGATGGCGCTTTAATATCTGAAACAGAAAGTTTATTTGCTAGAGGAATATCCTATGATCCATTATCGAGTCATTTTTCTAAATTGGAAGTTGCAAATATGCCACCATCACTATTTTTGCCATATGAACCAATGTCAACTGCTATAAAGCTATAAACAGCATCTACCAGTGCAAGCAAAATAACAGAAAATGTTTTTTTTATAATTAAATAAGTTAGAACCACTATTAGCAGGTGCCAAAATCTCCACATATTTTCAAGAGCTCCTAGGTAGTTAGGGAAATTCCAGGACTGCCAGAACTTTCTTGCAATTTTCTCCTACTCTTCTTTTGTAGGTCTTGGCAAACATTTATTCAAATATTTTTTATTATGGCATCGCAAACGTCCATGACAATAGCTTGTACAGTAGAATGACCTAAGCGATAACTAAATGCTATTGTTTGAAAATAATCTCCTGTAAAAAATTAAAAATATATAGAAGAGCTTTTTCACCCCCTAATGTTTTATTGAATTTTTTTACATTATTTATACATATTTGTGTGTTTTTTTACAGATTCTCAAGAATGCAAGCGAAGATGAGAATCTCTTAAAGGACAATTTAGAAAATTCATCAGATCAACGAAAACATCAACGGTACAAGCAGCTAATGAATTTTGATTCATTGGAAGTTCTCCGAACTACTTGAATTTCTAAGGCCATTTTTTAAAGATAAGGAAAGAATTTCCTCTTTGCCAGAATCAGAGACTTCCTCGCAATTTCAGTTAAGTGAACTGACCCAAGAATCAGATAATGAAGAGCAAATCTTTGAGCCAAATCCTGAATTTTATTTGGAGGTAATTAAAGAAACTTCTCTAGACCAAGCTCCTGTTACACCTAACTCTTATGCTACTTCAAAGAAAAATTACTCAAATTTAACCCTAACAACTCCTATAAAAAAATCTACTTTTTAAAAGAAACCTAAAGCGAAAAATATATACATCTGAACCATCAGCTGGGGCAACATTTATGACTATCTTTTGGAAGAGAAAATAAAAAAAAGTCAAAAGCCGAGGAAAATAAGGATGAGCTGGATTTTTTTTTTTAAGCATCAAATGCACCATGCGTCGATTTGAAAACATAGACAAATACTACGTCAAGCAAAAAATATTTGCACTTAGTGATACTGAAGCGAAGTACATATCAAGCGAGAGGAATTACCAATATCGTGCTCCAATTATGACTTCCGGCGTCTCATCATTCCAAGACCAGAGTAAAGTTTTAGATATATCGTATTCAGTACCCCACAAAAATACTTCAAATAGGCAATCATGTTACCAGCCAATCGTTTTGCATTTCACGAGACTTCGTCTGCAATCGCCTCCAGATTTTAACAGAAACCGTCGACAGCAGCCACAGTATTCCTATGATATCACAAATGATAATTATTCGTCTGACCTACCCTCAAGATCGGGCTCAAGTATATCTCATGCTGATTCATCCAGGCCGCCATCATCAACATCAGCACATACCATTACCGAATCAGCATCTGTAGCTACTTTTTTGCAACAGTTTTCTCCTTTTGATGGATTAAAAAATGGAAATTATAAAATAAAAAATCTTATTTTTTTGTTCCAAAAGTTACAAGTAGGTTGGTACCTATATTTATTTTAGATATCTAAGAATATAATATAATAACGAATACACCACAACTTCGACTACAACCTATTAGGTACCTACCTAGGTGTATCTAAAAAAATATTTGTTTTTAAAAAAGCATTGTGAATAATAAAAAAACGCTTTGGAGTGAGGGTAGCCATATGTGAGTAGTAGGGATTAAGTATAAGGGGTTAAGAAAAGGTCCTTTATTTCTCACAAGTCAATTTTAATTGGCGACCTGTTTCGAAGCTATTGCTTTATCATCAGGCACACCTAAATGGAATGTCAAGGAGTCAGTAGTAATAAAAACAATTATAAAAGTATGAACGGACATTAACATATACAAAGTAACAGAAAAAACACAAAAGAAAATTAAACAATGACCTTGACTCACCTTGACTATTTCCATAAAGGAAGTGCTACATAAAGTTTAACAAAACGAGTTAAAAAAAGTCATGTAATACCTACAATAGTATTTTTTAAAAAATATGTTTTAGGTTAGGTTAAACCGCGAGATGTCTGATTGAATAAATTAATTAAAACACATGTAAGACAATTATTAACTAAACAACACAAAATAGTTTTTACAAGCACAAACAGTTAAAAAAATTTTTAAAAGAATATAACGTTAATTACAAATGAAAAGTAAAGGTAAAAAAGTAAAAATTATCAGACTCCCATGACATCTATCTAGATTTTAACGAATCAGTGCAGTAAACTGTAAATTTTAAATTTAGCGGATAAATAGTGTACTAAAAAAGGTGTTATTTACTGAAAGTGAGTATAGGTGGCGGTGGCACAATTTATTGATAGTAAAAATATTAAATTGGAATGAGAACGTAAAAAATACTAATAAGAAAAATAGAACACTAAACAAGAAAATATGAAAATTCATATGTAAAAGTGAAAATTAAAGCAGATAATCAAAAGAAAAATTACTGTTACAGGAAAACGGAAAATGAGTTGACAAGTACGAATGTCAAAAAAGAAAAGTCAAATTTTGGCGTCGTATGACAACCAAGTGGGAGAATTTAAATAAGCCAATTAAGGGAACATTTAATATGAAAGATGCGAGTGGGCAAAAATTAATGGAAACAGAGAAGAAAATTTAAATTGGGAGAGAGTTCATTAATTTGTGGTAAGTAACTGATTGAAGATCAAATGAGTGGGGGTACAGGTCAGAAATTAATTTAAATAAGAGCAGAAAACGTAGGGGTACTTATAAATTGAATTTGTGCATTCAGAGAGCAAGAGGGACCAGATTTAAAATTTTTTAAAATTTCCAGGTTCTCAAAGTTATTCAGAAGGAATTTATTAGAAGTCATATGCAAAATGTCAAAGCCAATGCTAGAATCAAAATCGTGACCAGTGTCTAAAAAATGAGCAGTAAAGTGAGAAAAACCAGTAGTGTTAGTGTTACAGCGTGTGTGCTCTTTCAGGCGTATTTTAAAATTACGAAAGGTCCTTCCCACATATGAGCATGTCCACTTTTTTACTCTTTACTTTTCATTTGTAATTAACGTTATATTCTTTTAAATTTTTTTTAACTATTTTGTGTTGTTTAGTTAATAATTGTCTTACATGTGTTTTAATTAATTTATTCAATCAGACATCTCGCGGTTTAACCTAAACTAAAACATATTTTTTAAAAAAATACTATTGTAGGTATTACATGACTTTTTTAACTCGTTTTGTTAAACTTTATGTAGCACTTCCTTTATGGAAATAGTCAAGGTGAGCCAAGGTCATTGTTTAATTTTCTTTTGTGTTTTTTCTGTTACTTTGTATATGTTAATGTCCGTTCATACTTTTATAATTGTTTTTATTACAACTGACTCCTTGACATTCCATTTAGGTGTGCCTGATGATGAAACAATAGCTTCAAAACCGGTCGCCAATTAAAATTGACTTGTGAGAAATAAAGTACCTTTTCTTAACCCCTTATACTTAAAAAAAGCTTTGTCTGGTCGAATATGACGATGACATGATCCGATAGTGTGAATGCTTTCATAAAGATTTGATCGTGACCGGACCGTGACTTGACCGTGACTTGACCGTGACTTGACCGTGACTTGACCGTGACTTGACCGTGACTTGACCGTGACTTGACCGTGACTTGACCGTGTCTTGATCGGCTAATGTGGATAGACCATAAAGAGAATCAAGCCTTTTGATTTACTTCAGTGATGTTAGATAAAAACAGAGTATTTAATAGTGCAGTTTAGTGTTATACGTTAACGGTAGTGTAACTAAATAATTAGACTCTAAGGTACACTGGTGAATAGAATCTTAGTTTATGAAGTTTTTATCCCTAGATAAGTTAGGTTAGAATAAAATAGCTAATTTATCTTAAGGATCAGATTGTAATAAACGTAAATGCTTCTTTACTAGGGGCATTTATTAAAAGAAAAACATATTATTTAATGCTTTACCTTTGAGACAAGACGTTTTTCGGCAACAATCGTTAAATTGACACATACTTTTAAATTATTAAAGTCACAGTTTTGATTTAACCACAATTTTTAAATACATAAGCATAATTAAAATAGTCTTATAGTGCTTTATATTTAGCTTAGAGTTTGTTTAGTTTGGAATAGTGCTCCAATGTTGCCAGAATGTTTTTGTTGTGTACTAGATTTGCCTAAAAAATGGATCAGATTCCATAATTGTACCAGATTTTTTGAATTCTATTTGCAGTGATAATATAATTCATTGAAGAGCAAAAAAAGAGGATCTTTAAAGAAAACGAATGCAGAAGGCAGGCAAAAATATATATTTTACACGTCAACACTGCTGCACGCCGGAAAAGAAAAAGTACTAGATTTTGCTTCGATAATGTTCTACACCTATTACAGTTGTAAATTGTAATTGTACTAGATTGGTAACAATAATTTGGCAATGTTCGTAGGTTCACCCTATTTTGTGACGTCATGCCTTGTAAATGTGCGATATACAAAATAACGTGATTTAAGTGTTTTTTTGTTTCACGAATCTGTTGACGTGTTAACCTCTATTTTTAGTTACAGGCTGTTGCGAAAACCTCTTGCTTCTCATACTCTCACTCAGAATAATGCACCACAGAGACGCAATCATCCACAGCGTAGTGTCGTACCAAAAAATAGAGATTAACATATATGAGAACAATATAAATTTTAAATTTGAATTTTCATTTTTATTTATTTTAAAATAATGCGTTTTTATGAAATATAACTGGGTATTTACTACAAAAAATTTGCTTGTGTGTGAATATACTGTGAATATTTTTTTTGCAACCCTATTCTTTAATTAGGTTCCCAAGTAAAGAGTGTATTAAAAAATAAGTTAAATAATGCCCCCAGTGCGTCTACAATGCTTCGAAGCACTTTCTGAACGATTTAAATTTTGTCTACTTTATTCTACTCAATCATAGAGCTGTATAAACATATGATACAACAGTCACTTGTTGTATCAAGAAACTTTTGAGCTCGTCCCAATAGCCAATGCATTTTTTATATATTAAGTTAATACATTCAGCTTAATTTTCTAGTATTTTAGTGCACTGTAATGTGGTATCTCCTTACCATTTACTATTTACTCACGCCCAAAAGAGTGGAACTTTTAAGTTTTTGATGAAAAGTTACTCGAAAAATCTATTTGTTTAAAAGAATTCTAGATACTTAACCCTTAACTTGACGATGTGAATCTTAATATACATGCATTTCAAAAAATGTTTTCTTCTATGTTCCATGAAAAATTGTATATATGAAGCACTGTGTACTTAGTTAAACATCTTTTCTAGTAAGTTATGCTTTCTAACCACCATTTTTATATTTCGCACCTTCGCAAACTGTCAAAATTGTGAGGTTAGTTGCGGAATACTTTCAGTTTGAATGAAATGTTCGTACATTAGGTAAGCAATTTATGATTTCTAATAATTATATCTGTACCAATTGCAAACAAGTCACTAAAAATCATTAGAGTAATCATTACTTGATGGTTGTGCATGTGTATTTTATCTGTAGAATTTGTAGAAAAAATGTAATTGTCTTCTAAAAACCAAGTGTATTTAAATTTACACTGCCAAGTAAACGGAAGATTATAAATGTCTCTTATAATACACATTTTCATCTTAAACATCTCCATCACAATCAACAGGACAGGACCGTTTCCAAGTGTTTCCTATGTACTAAGATCGCCTCGTATAGGAATTTATAATGTTTTATCTTTTTTTAGATAATGGCAAGTAACTGAACGAGAAAAATAGTAAAATTAGCTCAAGGTTTCGTTAGTGAACCTTTGAACATTTTAATTCCCAACAGCACAATCGACTAAGAAATTGAAAGTGATGAGGAAGTAATGTTGCCATCTGCTCCAATTGCCTATCCATTAACGGACAATTTATTTGACGAATCCTATTAAAAAACACCTAAGTTTACTACTCTACCGACTGTTCAAGCCGCGTACGAGATGGCAGAAAGTGATGAAGAAGTAAAAAATTAGAGATACGAAGCTCTTTAACTTCAAACAGATATTGAGGGGGGTACAGATTACTGACTAACGTAATACAAGAAAAAGTGATAGCGCTGAATTCAAAAAAGACACACATTCCGGTAAAATCAGGTAAGCGTAAAAGAGAGTATAACTGGTCAGATAAACAATTTGTTTGCCCTGTAGATATAGCCACCGATTGTTTTGATCCACCTGAGCAAGTTTAGATAGTACATGTCTATTTTTTCTCAAATACTAGATATTTCTGTAAATAATAGTTGGCTTCCGTATAAAAGACATATCAAGGATTGAATTCAGAAGAAAAACCGACACTCTAAAGGAATTTCGTATTTCTATTGCTGCGCTCCTTATTTTAAAAGGCAACAAGAAAGAATGGCCTTAACTAGATGAAAATAGTACACCTACAAAGCAGGGGTGTTCGGTCCATGGAAGCGGGGGAAGCACCGCTTCCCTACACTTTGAGAATTAAAAATAAATATTTTTCAGTTTATAATGCATAGAAATTAATAATAAATTAGGTACTATATTTTCTCTGAAACATTACGTAAACTTCGTAAATGTACTAACAATTCATTGGTGTGATGTGTAAACGCACGCACCACCCATGAGAAAATTATTTGTGTAAACGCACACACCATATCGGTACTTCAAGTCCGTCGGCGGAAGCGCTTCTTGAAAAAGCCGGCTCATCTTCCAATTGATTTAGCTTCGTGTTGTTGACCCTGCTTTGCCGCGACACAGTAGTCTGTTTCGGCACGTGAAATACTGTCGAGAGGCTGCGATTTTTACGTCGCCTTACGCATATTGCAATTTGCACCGCGAATCCACGTGTGAGGAAAATCATAGACTTCAGATAGATTTCGGTTTGTTTTTCGTAGTTATTTTTGTTTTTGTAAAATGGAGGAACTATGCACTGTGCCTGTGAACAATAATAATGTGGTAAATTGTGTCTGTATTGTGTGCTTTTTATTGAAAAAAGGATTTTCAAGTAGAAATTTTGAAGAAAAAATGGACATTATTAATTCTAGTAGTAAAAAAGTCAGCAAAAAAATTTTACGTAGGGTTCTATGAAAAGTATGAATGGTTAACCAGCTACAAAACTTTGAAGAAATTATTTTGCTGGACTTGCCTACTTTTTAATATAGCCGAAAAAACACATTAGAACTTAGTCGGTATTACAGACTTGAATAATTTCCACAAAAGTGTAAAACGACATGTAAATAGCAAATCTCAAGCAAATATCATATAAGTGCTACAATTAAAGAAAAAACATTCGGGACCTATCGCATTGAACATATTTTAGACAATCATTTAAAAATAAGCAACAAAATTCACAATGAAAGGGTAAAAAAAATAGGGACGTGTTTCAACGATTAATAGATGTAACTTGTTTCCTGGGAGAGCATGAACTAAGTTTTAGTGGTCACAATGAAGTAAGTAGATCCGCCAATCGAGGAGATTACATGGACCTTCTAAGTTTTTTAGCAAAATACGATGATACCCTAAAAAATTATTTTATTAATTTAACGACTTTCCGAGGAACCTCAAACAGAATCCAAAATGATTTAATTAAATGCACTACCGACGTTGTGATGGATCACATTAAAACTAAAATTAAAAAAGCACCTTTCGTATCAATTGCGCTCGATGAAACCACAGATGTAGCAAACCTAAGTCAATTATCCATTGTTATGCGATATGTATTGGATGGCATTCCTCAAGAGCGATTCTTAGGATTTTTGGACGTCACTAGCGAAAGAACTGCAAATGCATTGTTATTGTTTGTGGTTCTTAGCTTGTTGCCCAAAGCTATGATGGTGCTGCCGTAATGGCTGACAATTTAGGAGGCCTTCAAGCTAAAGTAAAAGTTTAAACATGCAATTTTCGTTCAATGTATAGCACATAGACTTAATTTGGTTTTATTGCGAAGCGTGGATAATATTAAAGATTGCAAAGTTTTCTGTTCGAGGCTTAGTGGTTTGGCTTCCTTTTTTTCAAAGTCATCAAAAAGAACTCGCGCTTTGGACATTCACGTTCAAAAAAGGTTTCCAAAAGCTGCTCCGACGCGATGAAACTACAATGGACGTTTAGTGCAAACAGTGTTTTAATACCGTGATTCTTTGATGAACTTTTTTCAAGACGTTTGGGTGTAACGTTTAAATTTGGCCTTATAGCGGTTTTTCATTAAAATAGGAATACTCCGTGTTTAGTAATTATTAAAAGGGTCCTTCTATACCCGCATTTAAACCACTGTGCTTTCGGATCGATATTCGAATCAATGATTTTGTCGTCACAGTCGAAGGCGTTTCTTGGCGGGCATTTTCCCATACATTCAGGGGTTTTTCTGCGACACTCTGGGCGAGTAGGTGGCTGCCCTGTATTCAAGATGTCGGTCTAGCGTTTCCGCCCCAATTTTAAGTGTGGGTATATGAGCAATTTGGGGTAGATAGGACCTCTATTTGAGTTTAGTTTTTTATTTCGGTTTAGAGGCTTTGTTTGCTTATTTTAGCCCTTTCTGGTAAGAATTTATTTCGTAATAGAGGGCGCTGATGGGACACCTATGTGTTACTAAGGTATGTTGGTATAACTGGTTTTTGGAGGTGTCAGGTGACTTTGTTCCGTCCTTCTTGGAATTTCGAGATTCGCTCCACACGTGGATTTGTTTGAAAGGTACTGTTTCGAAATTGATTGGAACTCGTTTCAATCGATTTGGGATATTGCGAAACAACCTTTTGTTTAAGTTACAACAATGGGATTTGGTAGTATTTTGGTGCCCACCTATTGTAAGAGCTCTCTTAGGAGGATATATTTAACCACGTGTTGAGTCTCATTGGTGAGTTTTCTTCTACGCAGTATTTAAAATTACGACGTAGTAATTCTTTTTTTAAGGCCTTCATCTTTTATTTCAGTGCCCATATATATATGTAGTCTTTCTGAATAAGCCGTTCACGAATTTGCCGTTCAATTTGATCTGGTGCATCGTTTGTTCCTCCTTTTGCAGATTAAAAAGGGGTAAATATATCTTGATTTTAGACGATTATAACCCTAATTTATGTTTATTTTCGTTGTATATATTTTCAGTATATGGGATTGACTTTTAACGGGTAGTATTTTGAAATCTAAGGGTGAAATTTGCCTATTAAGTGTAATTGTTGGGTAGAACTCGCTTCACGAGTCGTCTATCTTTTTGCTTTGTAAATCTGAAGATTACCTACATAAATTTATAAGCCGAACCTAATTTAACTAGTAAATGTTGAGTAGTTACTACCTATTTCTAGACCTCGCTTCACGAGAAGGCTATGTAGGTACCTGGTTATTTAATTTTAACTTCTTTATTAACCAGGAATAAATAGTTATTTCTGTGTTTTATCTTATACGTTTTCTTTAGTGTCCTTGGTACCGGCCAGTAGTCCTTGTGACGGGCTAACAATTCTTGTGACGGGCTGACACTTCTTGTGACGGGCTCGCTAGCACATCTTGTGACCAGCTAGTACTTCTTGTGACTGGCTAGTATTCGTGTGACGGGCTAGCAACCTTTATGACAGGCAGATTGATTTGTATGCCGAAGTAGGACATCAACCGTCTACTAGAGTGTGTCCAGCTGGAAAGAAGTCATGGTTTACCGCAAGTTTTTGCTATCTTATTACTATATTACTATTTAGTCTATTGTATTGAGTGGTTATTAGTGCGTATTTTTATCTAAACCTAATGTAAACGAGGTTTAGGGGTGTATAGTTTACAGTACATTTTATTGAACCTAAAATACGTCACCAAGAGCTCTTCGTGCGGTATATTACTGATGGGTAACTAATATTTTTAATAATAGAGTTTTACTTTTTTTACCCCTAGCGTCCGTAAATAGTACACTATCATTTATTTATTTGCTAAATACAGTACACACCTTATGTGTTACATTTTTAAGATTACCCCTAGTCCCATTTAAATATTTTTAAAGTCTAATATAGCGTTTAGTTGTGAATAATACACCCAGTGATACTGGATTATTGTTAATAGTTGGGGTATTTAGTAGTGAATGTACTAAGTGATTTAGATGTTAAATATTGCTTATTTTTACGAAGTTGACTCTCCATGTCGACACAGAATAATTTATAATTATTAAACTTGGGTATACATATTGAATTATTCTTGTTATTTAACCCCACTTGCTAATTGTCTGATTACATAGTCAAGTTGGTCAATAAGACCTATGGTAAGGTAACGTTTATACTTAAATAGGAGCATACTCAATTTGTAGCCGCTTGAAGGCCTTCGTAGAGGCAATGCTTATAGGTTTTTCTATTTGGAGTTTGATAGTGAACTGTCACTTGGATTGTTGGATGTGAGGTTAAGCTCCTGGCGCCCACTCACATACATAACTTTTTCTTCGACTCACCCCTTCTTCATTGTAGTTAGTCGGCATCCAACATTTGGATTAATATAAATCCCACCTCGGTGCTTAGGCACAGAAAGTAGGTAGTATGGGGTAATAAAGAAAAATGGGATGCTGAAACTGTTACTGCTGCTAAAGGGTATTTGCATTGGCTCAAACAAAACTTTGATTTAAATTTTTTGCTCAACTTTTTTGCAGAGATTTTCCCTTTTACTGACATTTTATTCGACATTTTACAGACAAAGTCAAATGATATTGGCTTTTGCATTAAACAAATTAATGATTTTAAAAATAAAATGAATAAATAACGTGATCAGTTTGAACACTTTTGGAATAAGACTCAAAACATTGGCTTGAAACCTGAAAGAAAGAGAATTAGAATTGATAATGTTGGCGTCGTCGATTATACGCCGAAATTTTTAATAATATTTTACAACAACTGAACTCTCGATTTCAAAACTTTAACGAATTAAAATTTGTTGAATTGTGCAATTTTAATATTAGTAACTACGATTCATCAAGTTCCATCGGAAGCTTTTAAATCACTAAAATTAAATTATGGAATTTTTTTTGATATTTCAGCCTTAAAGTTCCAGTAAATTGTTGTTTATGAAACAACTAAAATTACTGATAAAAAGACGCCCATCAATGTGTTAATTTTTCTTATAACAACTGGTTTAAATGAGTCCCTTTGTGAAGTCGTCAAGTTGTGTGAATTAGTACTAACCATCCCAGCCACAAGTGCATCAGTTGAGCAAAGTTTTTTAGCTTTAAAGCGCATTAAAAGTTTTATACAAAATTCAATAAGTGAAGACAGACTTTCTAATTTAGCCCTAATATCCATTAAAAAACAGCTTGTTAAACAGTTATCACTGCTATGAAGAAACTGAAAACCATCTTCAAGCCCCGACCTGAAAATGAAAAACGTTTCGATGGAGTTAGACATTTTCTCCAGTTTACAACTAAAGGAAGATGCGCAATTGCCCTGACACGCAAACCCACGTTACATGTTCGAAATGCGATGTCCGCCTTTGTTTTGTTTCCAAAAGAAATTGTTTTTATAACTTTCACAATAATAATAATTATTGACAGATTATTTTTTTTTGTTTTGTTCGTTTATGTTAAAAGTTAAATACTTCCCTGGGTTTTATTTGGATTCTACGTTAGTTTAAGGCATGGTTAAATTTGGCACAGTGTAATTCAATACACACGTATTATGTTTTGCTTTATTGGCACTGTGTACTTAGTCAAAAAAAATAGTTTTTTGCCACAACGTCATTTTAATGGTCTTACAACATAAAATTTACAAAAAAAAATATTTTTAATTTGTTTTTTTATTTGTCAAGTTAAGGGTTAAAAAAATCACATGTTATCTCATTATCTCATTTATCTCATTATCTCAATTTTGTGGTATTTTTTATAAAACCGTAATTCAGGAAACGCATTTCTAGAATTTTCCCGTTGACAAAACACCTAATTACAAGTTACATACAAGAGCAGGAAAATGGGCGAGAGAAAATTGCGAGAGTCTAATTGTAAAGGCCAACCGACACTCTCGAGCTTTGGTATCGAAAAGATCCTAAAGACACCGAAAATTACAGAGACCATTTCGGAGTCTCTTCAGGGACTTTTCTTTATCCTCTATATTCCGGCCCTCTTATCACCAGGCCCGTCGTATAAATGAATGATTCAACAAAATTTCTCGAACTTATCACACATATAGAGCAGTTCCGACTTAATCGACATCTTTCAAACCCATTTCCATCTAGAGATGGGTCGTTGCTTTGGCAATGGTTATTTTTAAAGTTATTTTTATGAAAGGGTCTATCTACCGTTCGCGTAAAATATTGAAATATTGATGACGTTTGGCGATAATGACTTCGCGCCTTGTTTAACTGTATTAAATTTGTATATAACCTATATAAACGTGGAGATATTTAAAATAAATAGGGCGTTAATAATTCAATGCGTTTCTTGTTCTAGAATTATTAAAATATTATCATTTACTTTCTGATGAACCTCGTAAAAATAAATGAAATTTAATTTTTTATACCTTCTATCTTATTTTGTGTAACAAAAACGATTTGAATCACTTTCAATTTATTCTAATCTTCTCTTTTTAATATTCAGAGTTTCCTAAAATTGCTGGGACATAACCTAAAAAATGGAACAGAACGAATACCCCTACATCTAACATATGTTACAGGATTAAAGTGCAAATCAATCAATCAATCAATATATCTTATAAGAAAATATGTACCCAGGACCGTTTTTGAACTTTTAATAGTAAAGATAATACAGTTTAATATACATAAATAGATATAAGAGTAGAGAATGTTCATGTAGGTAGATTTATCTTACTTAAACTCTGGTATCAGATGAATTTTTATTATCCTTTTTACTTCGTTCTTTTTAATTCTGGTAGTAGTATGTTGATTT